ACACCTGCCCCATACCCAAACAGGGGGGGAAAGGCTGTAAGAGGGGGCAGGGCAAGTAAACGCATTCCCTGAGTCTGGATGCCACAATGAACAGCAAATGCAAGGCCCTCTGGCTAGAACCTTCGGGGTTGCTGAGTGGCTGCAACCTGGCCTTGCCCTAGAGAAAGCTGAGCCTGCCTGCTGTGTAAAGAGATCTCTAGGGCAGAAGGGGGAGGTGAGGGTGGCTATTTTTGGAGGAAAGAGGGGAAGGGGCCATGGAAAACCTACCAGAGGATCCCAGACTGGGGGTTAAAGCTGCCCCCTAGAGTTGGGGGAGATGAAGGCTCCATTCTCCGGGAGCCAGGCCTAAACCTGCAGGGACCCTGACCTCTGTTGAGTTTAAGATTAGAAAGAAACTGATCTCCTGGCCTTACCACAGGCCTCCTCCAACACTGCAGGCTTTCTCCTTCTCTGTCTCAATCCCCCTGTGCCTCCTAAATCCATCAGGAGCCCTCCCCAATGTCCAGCACCCACCTCTCTCTGTCCAGTGACACCCCCCCAGTACAGGGCACTCCAGCTCCTATGAATATCCTGTCACCCTCACTAGTTAGTACTGAGTGGCATGTTGGTCCCATAGCAACCCAGGAAGTTCTTCTCGTCGTCTAACTTCCATGCCTCCAGTCACACAGGAAAGCATTTTCACTTTTCTGCCAACAGTGAAAGTGGACACCAGTCATCTGTAAACAAGCCTCCCCACCAGAGGGGCACCCCTCTCCATCCCCCACCACATCCTGTGCTCCTTTAGCGGGCCTTTCACCTACTTTGCAGCCCCACAATGTAGCAAGCAGAAAGTGAAATCTATTTCACAAGCAGGATTGGCTCCCCCCCCCACGGCTCCCTCTTTGCCCTAAATGGACCTTTCTCCCCAAGCCCTTGGCCCACCCTCTTTCCAGCCATGCTGTTGAGACCCTCCTAGGCCTTTCCCTTCTCTCCCTGTCGGATTGTTCCCCAGACTGGGCAGGATCCAAAGTCCGCACCAGCCCTCCAAGTTTTCACTTCTACTCTAGTGTTTTCCTCAAGGGAAAGTCCTCTCTTAGTCTACCCTTAATCTCTCCTGCTGCGTACCTAAATTCCCTTTCCCTCTTTTCTCTTTGTGAAATCTCCTTTACATCATAAATACAATCTTCCTCTCAGGCTGCGCCCTTCTACTTTCCCAGACCCTAAAACCTGCCCCAGCTTCAAGAAGTTCTTGGGCTCCCTTTCA